GCACCTGGCCTTATTAAGAGTTTTATATGTGAAATAATGCAAACAGAAGCATTTTCTACTTCTTCTAAACTAAGTATATTCTGTCTTAACTGTATATTTAAAAACAAAATACAAATTTCATGTCAATGAAGGTAAGATCTTAGAAAGGAAAGCTTAGGAAAAAAACATCAATAAACAGATTTTTATTTATTCTTTTATTTAATCACAAACTTTAATGGACACACAAGTTTGTATCACTGTTATATGCAAGCACACACTCATATGCGCACTCAACCCACACATACCATCATACCAAATTTCAGGCAAATTTATTTCATATAATAGTTTGAATAAAGGCGCTTGTCATGGTACTTTTATAGAAAATTGAAGCTGGGTGCGGTGGCTCACGCTTGTAATCCCAGCACTGTGGGAGGGTGAGGCAAGCGGATCACCTGAGGCCGGGAGTTCAAGACCAGCCTGACCAACATGGAGAAACCCCCGTTCTGCTAAAAATACAAAATTAGCCGGGTGTGGTGGCACATGCCTGTAATCCCAGCTACTCGGGAGGTTGAGGCAGGAAAATCGCTTGAACCCGGGAGGTGGAGGTTGCGATGAGCTGAGATCATGCCATTGCCCTCCAGCCTGGGCAACAAGAGGGAAACTCCATCTCTGAAAAAAAAAAAAAAAAGAAATTCGAGAAACTCTGTGATTACCAATCTGATTAGTCAATGTACTATTAAACCAATACATTTTTTATATCAGGGGAATGGCTAATTTCGCCAGATCCATCTTAATCTTGGCAAAGTAAAACACTTTTTTTTTGAGACGGAGTCTTGCTCTGTTGCTCAACTTGAGTGCAGTGGCACAATCTTGGCTCGCTGTAACCTCAGCCTCCCAGGTTCAAGCGATTCTCCTGTATCAGCCCTTTGAGTAGCTGGGACTACAGGCACGCACCACCACGCCCAGCTAATTTTTGTATTTTTGTTTGTTTGTTTGTTTGTTTGTTTTGAGACAGAGTCTGGGTCTTTTGCCCAGGCTGGAGTACAGTGGAGGAATCTCAGCTTACCACAACCTCTGCCTCCCGAGTTCAAGAGATTCTCCTGCCTCAGCCTCCTAGGTAGCTGGGACTACAGGCACTCACTATCATGCCCAGCTAATTTTTTTATTTTTAGTAGAGCCGGAGTTTCACTATGTTGGCCAGGCTGGTCTCAAACTCCTGACCTTGTGATCTGCCTGCCTTGGCCTCCCAAAGTGCTGGGATTACAGGTGTGAGCCACCGTCACCAGCTAACATTTACTTTTTTAGTAATCTTTTCCCCCCATGTCCACAGTATAATAATTAGTTCATTATATAAATTTATAGTCACATTTATCTTCTCAAAAATGGATCCAAATTTACTTTCTCAGATACACTACAAAGTATTCATACTTTTTAAAATTTTGCTCCCTGGTATAGTTTTATTGTGATATTTCTCTTCATAATCATGTTCAATTATCTTATGCCTTGTTAGTATAATTACATCTTCTTAGAGTTACTTTTAAATTTTAGATGGTCTTGGCCCGGGCGCAGTGGTTCACTCCCGTAATCCTAGCACTTTGGGAGATCGAGGCGGGCCGATCATCTGAGGTCAGGAATTCGAGACCAGTCCGGCCAACATGGCGAAACCCTGCCTCTACTAAAAGTACAAAAATTAGCTGGGCATGGTGGCGGGCGCCTGTAATCCCAGCTACTCCGGAGGCTGAGGCCGGAGAATCGCTTGAACTCAGGAAGCGGAGGTTGCAGTGAGCCAAGATCGCGCCATTGCACTCCAGCCTGGGTGACAAGAGCAAAGAGCAAGGCTCTGTCTCAAAAAAAACAAAAAGAAAGAAAGAAAAAAGAAGTCTTACTATATTTTACATTTTAGCCCACAGTCCCATATGTGTAGATGGATAGATCGATTGACTGATAGACAGATAGATGTGTGTGTATGCATATATTTATGTATTTATGAGCCAGAGGCGGTGGCTCATGCCTGTAATCCCAGCATTTTGGGAGGCCGAGGCGGGTGGATCACCTGAGGTCAGGAGTTTGAGACCAGCCTGACCAACATGGGGAAACCCCATTTCTACTAAAAAATACAAAAATTACCCGGGCTTGGTGGGGGGTGCCTGTAATCCCAGCTACTCAGGAGGCTGAGGCAGGAGAGTCACTTGAATCCCGGAGGCAGAGGTTGAAGTGAGCTGAGATCATGCCATTGGTTTCCAGCCTGGGCAACAGAGCAAGACTCCATCTCAAAAACAGAAAAAAAATTACATATTTATATTTTCACATGTGTTATGTCTACCCCAAAAGTCTATGCATTCCTTGATGGCAGAGGCCAATATTTGTACCTCTAACATACCAACTTACTTTCTAGAACACGGTATTTAACCAATTTTATTGAATTAAATTGAGCCCAAAGTTATTTTTCACAATGCAACACATGTTGAAAATGGATGGTTTAACGTGCTTTATCGCCATAATATGGGGCAATTACTTCAAGAAATGCTATAAATTGTTACATGAATTCCTTTCCTTGCCCAGTGGCTGGAATGGACTTCAGATTTTTACGTTTCATGAAACTAGGTAATTTTTAAGGCACTGTTTCATCTCCTCTCTGGGTAACGCTTCTAGATCACTCCAGAAGAGTTATTTTCACCCTCTGAATCAATCATTCTTTCCATTTATTTAATACTCAGAAATATTTTGGAATAAAATTATCTAGTGTGTTTGCATGCGTTACGAATAGAACCAGATAAAAACATTTCTATTTTCTTTTTTTTTTTTTTTTTTTTTGAGACAGAGTCTCGCTCTGTCGCCCAGGCTGGAGTGCAGTGGCCGGATCTCAGCTCACTGCAAGCTCCGCCTCCCGGGTTTACGCCATTCTCCTGCCTCAGCCTCCCAAGTAGCTGGGACTACAGGCGCCCGCCACCTCGCCCGGCTAGTTTTTTGTATTTTTAGTAGAGACGGGGTTTCACCATGTTAGCCAGGATGGTCTCGATCTCCTGACCTTGTGATCCGCCCGTCTCGGCCTCCCAAAGTGCTGGGATTACAGGCTTGAGCCACCGCGCCCGGCCAAAACATTTCTATTTTCTATGCCCACTGACGCTTGTGGCTAACTCTTTTGATGCTAATACTCAGTTTGCCGGTTTTGCAGCTTTTGTAAACCTCCTTATCATCCACATTCCTTAAATTGTTATCTGTCCCTTAGTTCTCCCCTCAAACTGCTTGAGGTTACAAATTATTCTTGTTCATCTTAGCATATATTCGTATATCACAGTGTTCAACAAAGATTCTTCACAGACCTTTGCTGAATGAAGAAATGAATAAATAAATATTTGTTTCTAAGATTTCCAAAGGCACCATGAATAGGCATCCCCATTCCCTTTTCAAATGTCCAATAAAGCAGATAAAATTTACTACAAAGTTTAGTTCTTGGTAGATACAACAATATTTGGTATTCTTCTTCTTCTTCTTTTTTTTTTTAGATGGAGTTTTGCTCTTTCACCCAGGCTGGAGTGATGTGGCATGACCTTGGCTCACTGCAACCTCCGTCCCCTGGGTTCAGTGATTCTCCTCCCTCCTTATATAATAAGATTATATAAAATTGCCCTTTTCGGTAGCTGCGATTACAGGTGCCCGCTACCACGTCCAGCTAATTTTTGCATTTTTGTAGAGGCAGGGTTTCGCCACGTTGGCTGGACTGGTCTACGAACTCCTGATCTCAGATGATCCACCCGTCTCGGCCTTCCAAAGTGCTAGGATTACAGGCGTGAGCCACCGCGTCCAGCCTATGTGGCATTCTTAACTCTTTAATATGAAAGCTCCTTTTTCTAATCTTGATTTTACTAAAAACAAAAGAAGATTTAACACAACAGATACAAGAATGTAAAAAGATGAACAAATGAATGAAACATAATCCAATGAGAAAACGAGTGGAGATGTCTTTATCACTGTAATAAAGTACACACCAGAAGAATACAGTAAATGCTATATTCAAGAAACCCCTCATTGATCCGCTTTTCCAAAGGCACCTGGAATTACCACAGAGAAGTAATTAAGTCCCTTTATTAAATTTGCTTCACCTCTGTTTCCTCTAGTAGTAAATGTAAATTTTTCTAAAAAGTATACACAAAAATATACAGATAATCTATTTTTACTTCATTTTATATCTGTAAGGAAGTTTTTCTTAAAATTCTTGATTTGCATAAACAGTTGGAAGGCTCTACTTAGACTCTCAATCAGTTTCTAGCTTTTGAAGAGAGTGCACACATGGATTTAAATGTTGAATTAAAGCTATGATTCCTCTTCTCAGACAAATGCATATATATTCAAGCACATAAAATTTAGATACCTATCAGGCATATACATTTTCTGAAACCCATCCTTAGATTCCCTACATGATCATGGACTCTTAGGTTAAGACTCACAGGTTGGAAGGTCTTAGGAAGTGTTGATGATATTGATCACGATATATCAATAATAATAATAATAATAACAAGCATTATTATTATTAGGTATGATCTAGGATCAAGAAATTTTGCCTGAAAGAGAAGTGTGAATTGATGACCTGGGAATTCATTAGTAGTTCCCGAATTCAGTCTTTTGGTGATGTTCATAATGATGATGGAAAGGAGCATGATAATGAGAATGTCTGGATTTCAAAATATGATTTTTAAAAATGCCAACAAGACCAGGCATGGTGGCTCACACCTGTAATCCCAGCACTTTGGGAGGCTGAGGTGGGTGGATCACTTGAGGCCAGGAGTTTCAGACTAGCCTGGCCATCGAGCGAAACCCTGTCTCTACTAAAAATACAAAAATTAGCCAGGTGTGGTGGTGGGCACCTGTAATCCCAGCTACTCAGGAGGCTGAGGCAGGAGAATTGCTTGAACCCAGGAGGTGGAGGTTGCAGTGAGCCAAGATCGTGCCACTGCACTCCAGTCTGGGCGACAGAGTGAGACTTTCTCTCTCTTAAAAAAAAAAAAAAAAAAAAAAAGACTAGTTACCAGTCTCTTCACTCTCACCTTACTGCTTTCTCATTGAGACAGTTATCAAGTAAAAGATTCATTAAAAAGTCTGCCACTACCTTCCTAAACATGTCCTTCAAAGATTCCTTGACTTGCTCATTACGTAAGGCATAGATGAATGGATTCAGCAGTGGTGTCACAAATGTCGTTATTACTGTCACTGCCCAGTTAGTGTCCACCGAACCACTCTGCGATGGCCTCACATAGAGAAAAATGGCACTTCCGTAGAAGAGGGTCACCACTATCAAGTGGGAGGTACAGGTAGAGAAGGCCTTCTGACGGCCTGAAGCAGAGGGGATACTCAGGACAGCCAGGACAATGAGGCCGTAGGACACAGCAGTAATCAGCAAGGAAGATACAATGACAAGGGAGGCCAGGACAAAGTCAGTCTCCTCCAGCTTCTTGGTGTTGGTGCATGCCAGGCGTAACAGTGGGCCACTGTCACAGAAGAAGTGCTGCACCACAGCACCCTGCTTACAGAAAGGAAGCAAGGCCACAGCCACTGTGGGACCAAGCACAGGGACGAGTCCCCCCACCCAGCAGGCCAAGGCCACACGAATGCACACAGCCCCACTCATGAGCAAGGGGTAGCGCAGAGGATGACAGATGGCTAGGTAGCGATCCACAGACATGACAGCCAACAGTAAGAACTCAGAGGCCCCGAGAAAGAAGTAGAAATAGAATTGGGTGATACACGCAGCAAAGGAAATAGTGTGTTGCCTTGAGAGGAAATAGCTCAGCATCTTTGGAATGATGACGGAAGTGAGCAGAATCTCTAGGCAGACAGGTTACCCAGAAAGAAGTACATGGGGGTCTGTAGCCAAGTATCAGCCCTTACCACCCCACAATCAACACATTGCCTGTCAGAATCAGGAGACAGACAAGAAGGAAGACAGAAAATAATTCCACTTTTGCGTTGTTGAGATGTGGGAACCCTGCCAGGACGAACTCTGTTGCATCACTACTCTGGTTCCCATCAGGAGTCATTATCTTTTCCACCTGTGCAACAACAAAAACATGGTCCTGGTAAGAACAGGTCCTCTGCTTACAATCCTGAAACTTACTTTATCATGGTGTGGGACACATATCCCCAGTTTTTCCAATTGCAGGTCCTGTTAAGATCTGAAGCACTTCAGGTCATCATCTGATTGATTTTAGCACTGGAGAAGATTTTCTCTAAAGGGTAACAAAACTTAGGTATGAAAATGCCAGGGGCCTCCATCTCCTCAATCTTCACATCTCCTGTTCTCAGATCTTAAATAAGACACCTCATTATTGTAATAACAATATCACTGAGCATCTGAATTGGACAAAAATATCTGAAAAACGATTTTGTGAAGAATAGGATCACCATTCAACCGGGATCAGAACTGGAGTCAGACTACCTAGTTTTAAATTCCTGCATCTCCACTTACTGGCTGAGTAGCCTTGGCAAGGTTACTTACCCTCTCTGTGCTCCTCAGTTGTGAAATACAGTAAGGAGCAAATGATATAATAATGCAAAGAATTTAAGAGTTTCTAGCACTTAACTTAAAAATTATGTGGCAGAGAAAGCCCCTGGCCATAAGTTAGGACACCAGAAATTAGGCTTGGCTTGCCATTACCCTTGGAAGATTATCGATTTGTGCTTTAACTGTCCAACTATGCAATGAATCATAGGAATCTAGGCTGTCAGTATACCTAATGAAATTATATAAAATTACCCTTTTTGGTAGGACACAGTGGCTCACTCCTGTAATCCCAGCTCTTTGGGAGACCAAGGCGGGTGGATCACTTGAGGCCAAGAGTTCGAGACCAACCTGGCCAACATGGTGAAACCCCGTCAGACATTTATCAGAGCTAAATTATGAATTTCTGACTGTAACTGTTAATAAAATAACAAATTATGTTCTTATTCTTTGATTCTTATTCTTCAAGTCCTCCCAGTTCTGAGGACCGCCACCAATTAGAAAAATCAAGTCAATTATATCCAGAAAGCTTGTTTAAAAATGCCTCAGGTATCAGGAGAATCCTTATTCCCTTTTGACAGAGCAGGAGCACCATCATCTTGGATAAACACTGCCACTTTAAGTTCCAGCTCCCTTTCTAGCCTCATGCATTTCAAAGAAATCACTTCTCTTCTAACTACAAGCAGCCAGGGAGAGCAGACAGTAAAACACAGATAAGACAGTTTGGGAACAGAGGGAGGTGAAGGGAAATTCTTTTGGGTAACTGCCAAACTTCACCCTCATATAATGGGCCCCAGTAAAACGGTGGGCCTTAATAAGCACCTTTCTTTCCCTTCAGGTGCACTAAGATAGGGAAGCTAAAAGCACACTCGGGAGTATGCCTACAGCTACAGAAAGATGTATGGGAACAGACACAAAACTGTCCCTCCCAGATAAGCACAACAGAGACACAGAAGCAGTCCAATCCTCTGATAAACTCTCCCACCCCGAATTCTTAAAAACTCTTAGTCTGTAAGAGTGTGCCTCTGACCTAACTTGACCAGAAGCTCCTCTCAGGTTTGTTTTCTGTAAAATAAACCTGTCTTGACTGGCAAGCCACCTTTCATGTTTCTTTCTTCTTTCTTTAATTCTTACACCTTTAGCCATGCAAAACGTAAGAACTGATCTTAAAAACATTGGTTCTCTGTCAGCTCTATTGTTCTCTTTTGTTGTTGTTGTTGAGATGGAGCCTCACTCTGTTGCCCAGGCTGGAATGCAGTGGCATGATCTTGGCTCACTGCAACCCCCACTTCCTGAGTTCAAGCAATTTTCCTACCTCAGCCTCCTGAGCAGTTGGGACTGCAGGCACGTGTCACCACACCTGGATAATTTTTGTATTTTTAGTAGAGACAGGGTTTTGCCATCGTGGCCAGGTTGGTCTTGAACTCCTGGCCTCAAGTGATCTGCCTCTCCTCGGCCTCCCAAAGTGCTAGGATTACAGGTGTGAGCCACCATCCCCGGCCAACCCTATTGTTCTCTAGCACACCCCAACAGTCTTTGTTCTCAGCAAGCATTAGATTCTTTACTTACAATTTCTCTCCTGTGGGTCCCGCAGGTCCAGACAGGAAAATGTCTGGAGCTTTTTTCTAGGATAAAAGAGTTCTGTGGTCTTTCTCCCCGAGGATTCATTCAGAGTCTCCGCTCCCTCCAGCTTCTATAGAAATTGCCTATTGTCAGTAAAGTCATTCAACTTTTGCTTCATATTTATTATGTACCAGATGCTGCTGTAATTGGAGATTCAGAGATAGAAGACATTGCCATTACCCTCATGTAGCTCACTGCCCACTAAGAATGACAGAAAAATCAAGATGTGTGACAGGTGGAATGTTGCAGGGAAGTATGGGGTACCACAGGGAAACAGAAAAGGAACCAAACTGAAACTCAGAGAGACAGGCAGTATTCTGGAGAAAGGAAAAGCCTGAAATAAGTACTAGAAAATGAGTATGCATTTGATAGAGAGAAGGAAGCATCTTCAATGGAAAAGAGCAGTGTGTAAACATAGTACCTTTGGGCTACAGCACAGAACATACGGGGTGGAATATAAACAGATGAGACTGGTCACCCCAAAGGGGACTCCGTCTGGCACTCTGTTGCTCCCTGTGAAAATCCACCATTGAGCTGAACCTAAACTATATCTTAAGTGACAGGGAGATGAGTTCTCAACTCTGAACATGGAAGGAATTCCTCCTACCTCCTCCTGAATGTCCTTGTTGTCTCCATGAGGGTGGAGGTCACCCTGAAAATTTTTTTTTCTCCTTTTTATGATTCAAGTTCCATCTGGGAGTCCTGTTCCGTGTGGGAGTCCTTCCCATACGGTGAACCTTAAGGCTGACAATAGGTTTGCATCCTTGGAGTAGGGGAGGATGGGCAAAGCACTTGAGAAAACAAGGAGAAATTGGATAATCTCCTTCTTCTCCTGAGCTTTCCTCTCTGGTATATTTCCTCACAGGTTGTCGTTCTGCCTTTTGAACAAGCGAGCTTTCTTCTCTTAGGGAGGTTGTGTCATGCTGCCTTTCTTATGGCCATGAATAAGTCAGCCAACAGCCCCACCCTTCCCTCCACGTAGAAACAATGCCTTCCGCAATGTGACCACTGTCTTAGATTTCCACAGGCATAATTCAAGTGAAAGACAATTATCTCAATTATCTCACAAGTGAAAGACAATTATCTCACAAGAAATGTTATTACAAAAACAACATGGGGCTAGAAGGCAAGAGGTACATATGGAGGGGTTACACCATTTACCTCCTATCTTTGAAAAGACTTAGCACACTTACCTCATTTGTTTCATCTCTAGTTGTGGAAAAATGTTCCACTTAAAGCGGCCTCTTCACTTTTTTTGCTAATGGAACTTTTGTACAAAGTATCAGTTTTCTTCTTTCAGATCCCTACCTTCCCTGACTCCTGGTATTAGCCTGAGGGCAGGGAGGGAGAAGGCTGAAGTCACTGGTTTCTAACTAATCTCTCTGCTGAAGGGTGGGATCCTTCGTGCATAACTTTAGTTTCCAATGGAGATATCTTCAGATGAGAACTAATCTAGGCATCAGAATTAATCTGAACATCAGGAGCCCAGCCAGCAGCAGTGCTTTTTGGAGAGAGGTTAATCAGGCAGTGAGAAAGTAAGACCATAGAGAAAGAAAAAAAAAAAAAGTTCCTAAATGACCCAGGGGAGATATGCCGTTCAATGGAAATTTCCTAGACTCTGTTAAAAAAAACAAAAAAACAAAACAACAACAACAACAAAAAAAAAACCTGACCCTTTGTTCAAGAAAGGGCGATGGGGAATATTTCTGCATTTGTCTATCAACTACATCAAACCAGGTCACTGCAAAACTTTAGGAGCCATTAACAATCAGAATGAAGAAGAGGATGGAGCTTGTTCAATCATGGAAGGCTATGACCATCATCCACCTTTCTCTTGCATGACACCCAGGAGAGATGTTTATATCCCAAGTAACACAGACATTGTGTTTTCTCCCTGATGACTTAAAACGATATTGGGAATCCCTCCCCTGGCTTTGGGGTTAGGAAATGATGGGAGCCCCATGGGCTTGATAAGATAAGGGAAATTTCCCAATTTCATCTCTAGCTAATTCTACTGCTTCTCCCAGCCTTGCACCTTATCTCCTAGTGGTAATGTATATGTTCCACATACCCAAAGCATTATTCAGAATTCTGGGCCATTGTTCACATCTTTTTCATTGGTGTCCATTCTATGGCCATGACTAAAATCTTGACTCTTCCTACTCTTGTCCTAAGACTCAGTTGAGTCTAGTGCACATCCGGTCTTCTGAGACAGCTTCCCCTACCCTCCATCCTCAGTCCTACCATCCTACCCACTCTCCCACCTGAGGTATGACAATCTTAATATTTAATCCATTGTATTATAACATTGCTTTTCTGTCTGTATCCTCTGCTAGACCCTAAATTCCTACGGCAGGAATACTTTCATCTCTGTATTTCTAGCACCAATCACAGTGCCTGGCACATACTAGGTGCTTGGCAAATGGCATGTGAGCTAGACTACTCTGAACCCCAGACTTGAGGAGCAACCACTCTTGTCAGATGGGCACCAATTAAGTTTTGAACTGAGAGGAGGAGTGCACAGGGCTCCTGGGAACTAGTTTAGCTGAATTACATCCTTTCTAGACATACTCCTTTCTAGAAAAAAGAAAATATCTAAAGGGAATGAAGCATGAGAAATGTTTATCACTAGATTCTAAAGGAGTGAGAGCAAAGACTGGGGGAAACTGGCTGAGCTAAGCCAAACAACAACAAAAATCTAAGCTAGAAACTGCAACTCCTGTTTGTTAAGCTGAGGGAAGGAGGGGTCTGAAAAAGAGACCCATGACGTCTAAGAACTAGTAAAGCACATTTAAGCCATACTTTTTTTTTTTTTTTTTTTTTGAGACAGAGTCTTGCTCTGTCCTCCAGGCTGAAGTGCAGTGGTATGCTCTCGGTTCACTGCAACCTCCACCTCCCGGGTTCAAGCAATTCTCCTGCCTCGGCTTCCCAAGTAGCGGAGTTTACAGGCACGCCACCACACCCAGCTAATTTTTGTATTTTTAGTAGAGACGGGGTTTCGGGATTTCACCATGTTGGCCAGGCTGGTCTTGAACTCCTGACCTCGGGTGATCCACCCGCCTCAGCCTCCCAAAGCGCTGGGATTACAGGCATGAGCCACCACTCCCGGCCAAGCCACACATGTTTTTAAACCTTAATCAAATCTTAAGGACTAAGGAAACTGCAGAAATAGATGAGATCAAAGACAGGTAATTTCTTTAAAACAAACAAACACACAGCCTGGGTGCAGTGGCTCGGGCCTGTAATCTCAGCACTTTGGGAGGCCAAGGCAGGTGGATCACCAGAGGCCAGGAGTTCGAGACCAGCCTGGCCAACATGGTGAAACCTCATCTCTACTAAAAATACAAAAATTATCTGGGCCTGGTGGTGCCCACCTGTATTCCCAAGTACTAGGGAGACTCAGGTGGGAGGATGGCTTGAGCCTGGAAGGTGGAGGTTGCAGTGAGCCAAGATAGCGCCACTACACTCCAGAGCAAGACTCCATATCAAAAACAAAACAAAACAAAAAACGCTATTTGCCCATTTGACATCGGCTTTGGTATTTAGCTTATAATACTTTCTTATTCTTTTCTTTTTTTTTTTTTTTTTGATGCAGCGTTTTTCTCTGTTGTCGCCCAGGCTACAGTGCAGTGGAACGATTTCGGCTCACTGC